AATATACTGTGTAAGTTTCATTATCGAATTCCAACTTTAAGTGCCACAAATCAAGTATGCACGCAAAGTATACAAGTGTTAATGTGGGCGCATCATAAACTTTAAACGTCTTTTTCTGAGCTTCTAATTTTTGCATTTCTACCTATGCTATGGACACGATTCACAAAGAACTATGTAACATATCGGAGTGAATCAAAAATTATTATGATCAGCCTGAAATTATCTTCTATTTTAACCTAAATGGTTGTTATAAAATTAAGTATTACTATTTTTTAAGAGGGTGGGAAGTGAAAACTGATCACCTGAAAATGGCATTTTTTCCTTCAAATCAAAATTGAATTTTTTTGTCTTGATTTCTTTTTGGTTTTTTAGGTTCAAATAGAAGATACAGGTGTAATGAATACAAAAAAATTTAGTTTACCGATTTTGGACAGGAATTACGAGCTCTAACGTGTCCATTGCACGGCTACTCAAAGCTCGAGGCGCTACGGCATATGTTCCATAGGTCCGCCATTTTGTAAAATATTGTTTATAACAAAATTTTTTTATTATCTCCGATTCCACTTTTAACTATCTCCAAAGTTTCACGAAGATTGCTTGACTATTTCCTACATTAAAAAATTCACGAAAAATGTCTACATTTTGACCGTTACATGTATATCCCCCCTTAATTAATAGAATAAAGCACAGAAACTGAAGTCAGAAAACCTATCGCTTTCTTCCTCGCCCCGCATAAAACTCAGCGTTGCTAAAAATCATCCCTTTTCGTGACGCGCGCCAAAGTGTCCCGCTCACTCACTCGCCGAGCTGGTGGTTGGGTTCTTCCGCACCAACTTCGCGTGGCCGCTGGGCAAGCTCCGGGCCAGAGCAGCGGGACGGGAGCGGGATTTGTCGCCGCTGGGTTCTCTCGGGCACAGATCTGACATGGGGCATCGGGGCTGCCGAGCTACGAGCTCCTCGCCGCCGGCGCGTGCTCTGAGATTTTCCCCTCTTCCCTCTCCTTTCCCTTCCGATCTGCATTTTGCCCGCCATCGCCGCTGGGTCACCCCGGGCGGCGGAGATTTTGCCGATCGAAAGAGTCGCCGCTGCTGGGCAACCGAGCGAGCGCAGGAAAACGGAGGAGCACCTGACCATCGCCAGGGTGATCGCGCGTTCTAAGGTTCCCCTCCCCTCTCCTTTCCCTTCCGATCCGCATTTTGCCCGCCATCGCCGCTGGGTCATCCCGGGCGGCGGAGATTTTGCCGATCGAAAGAGTCGCCGCTGCTGGGCAACCGAGCGGGCGCAGGAAACGGAGGAGCACCTGGCCATCGCCAGGGTGACCGTCCAAGATTCCCATTTTCCCGAAGCCAGAGTTCCCCTTTTGAAAACGAGCCCCTTTTCGCTGCCATTTTGCCCCTAGAAAGTTCAATAAAAATTCGGCGTCCATGTCCTGGCCGTCTCTAAAATATAAATATTTCTGGAGAGGAATCCTGGGCCGCTGAGGTTTACCCCGGCCTAAGACACATCCTTAAAATTTTTATATATTTTTATATATTTTTTTTATATTTTTATTTCAATTTTGCTATATATTTTTTTATATTTTCTTCAAGGCCCAAAGAATTTGTTGTCTTTATTGTTACTTAAGTTAAATTATTGTTTTAATTTTTATTCTGATAGAGGATTTGTGAAGCGCCGTCAGCGAGGCGGTCTCTAACTTTTTATATGAGACTTATGGAATGTTTTCCCTGATTTAGTCCTGACCGTGACTCTACCATTGTCCTCTACTTCTTCTGATCTAAATCGATGTTTATCCTTGCTCTTGATCTGCTTATTGCAGACATAGACCGTGTCCCCCTGACTGTATTGTAGAGGCTGTGTCCTGTTTTTATTCATCCTATCGGTTGACATTTTTTGTTTATGTCCTCCTCCGTTTGTTCTCTAAAATTGGTGAGTCCCTGATAGTTTATTCTTAAAATTCTATCGAAAAATATGTCGACCGGTTTACGGTTTGTCACCGAATGGACAGAGTTGTTATATCTGTCTACGGCAATAAAAACCAACTCGGTTGCTTTTAGGCTACGGTTGTCGTTTTTCAAATATCGGTATATCTCGAGGGAGGTTGAGTGAAATCTCTCAACCTGGCTATTCACTTCACTCTTCTGAGAAGGCTATTCCAAGAGATTGTAAGTAATTTAGTACGGTGGGGCAGAGTAAACCCCTTTCGTTGTCTGAGACTATTGTTTCTGGTGCAGTGAAATAGTGTAGGACTTCGGTCAGTCGCTCGCGGAGATGGACTGCCGATTTTGATTCTATCGGAAAAAGCTTGGCAAATTTTGAGAATTTATCGATGCAACTCAGGAATTTGAGGTTTTCGATCGTAAAAAGATCAATGTGCAGGATTTCGCATTGGTAACTAGGGATAGGGGTCAGCTGTAGTTTCGGCTTGGCCGGGTGCCTATCATATTTAAACATTTTGCAGGCCCGGCAAGAAGAGACCAATGACCTAATGCGGCTGGCCATTCTGGGGAAATACAATTTTTCTAGGATCTGTAACTTCATCTCTTTTGGATTCCTGTGGGCCCTAGAATGCTCCACATTTATTATTCTACTCAGTTCTTCCTCGTCCGCTACATCGGCTACCAACCTTTGCGTAATGCAAAGTTTGTACCCGGGGAAGTTCTCTCGGCAGCACTCTTGTAAAGACTGTAAGTAATTCTCGGGAATCTTTATGCCGTTAATCACTGATGGCTTCAAGAATTTCATTAAAAAGGGCAGCAAATTTTGTGTGGCATCAATCGGAATCAAGTGACGCACGTAACCTGTATGTGGGGTTTCGCAAGAGTATTCCGGCCTGTCTGGGTCAAACACAAGTTGACTCCTAAACACGTTAAGAGGGGCTTCCACATGAGGAATGGATGGTGATGGTGATCTGTATAAACTTTAATTGACGCGGCGCCGTAGAGGTAAGGTCGTAAATTCTTTAAATTCGTAATTATTTTTCGTTCACTGCGTAGTTTTCTCCGTTTTGTTCAGAGATCGTGAAATATAGGCGATCGGGCGGTCTTTCCCATCGTTACCACATAATCCAGAAACTCAACCTGGGTGCGCAGGAACTGCGTTTTTTCCAAATTCACTTGCAACTTGGCCTGTCTTAATTTTTCAAATACAGTGCGAAGGTTACACCAGTAAGATTCATAGTCTTTACTAAAGACAATGATATCGTCGATGTATACGTAGCAAATTTTTACCGACATGCTCTCGTAATACGTCGTCGACCATCCTTTGGAAGACAGCCGGGGCGTTTTTCAACCCGAAGGGCAGGCGCAGAAACTCATATTTCCCGTTCAGGGTAGAGAATGCCGTTTAAGGTATTTAGGATTCCTTCATGTGAATTTGATAAAACCCAGACGTTAGGTCAAGGGTGGTAAATAGTTTATCCTCACCCAGACTGGACAAGGTAAATGTTATATCAGGGATTGGGTAGGTGTCGGAAATGGTGACTGCGTTAAGACGCCTGATATCTATCACCATTCGGTATTGTTTTTCTCCGTTGGGCTTTGGCTTTTTTGGGACTACCCAGACGGGGGAATTATACGGGCTTTTGGAGGGCCTGATTATCCCCTCGCGCAGGAGCTCGTCAACCTGGTTCTCTACCTCCCCTCTCATATTGGCTGGGTAAGGGTAACTTTTCGAGTATATGGGTTCCTGAGTACTCGTTCGGATTTCCGCTCGAACATTCGTATCGAGGCATTCCTTGGCTTCTGCTAGGTGTTGGCTGTCAATTAGCGAATGGACATTTAAGGAAAGCATGACAAGTAGCGGAATCTTTATTCCTGGGTGATATTGTTAATGAGTCATTTTTCCTGTCAATAATTGCCTTAACGGATTTTAAAGTGTCGTCCCCAGTAATGCCATGGAGGGCAATTAAACCGGGAAGAACGAAGAAGGTGACATAATTGCCAATGGGGCTAAAAAATGGTCGGGTAAGCTGGTGCCTTTTTTTTTATCTCCCCTTCCGCGGATTGAACCGGGAAGGGTTTCGGCAAGGGATTGCATCCCTTGGCTATCTGGGGCTAATGAAGTTCTTATTCGCTCCAGTATTTATAAGTTAATTCAACCAGATTTTATTTTGATCAAGGCAATTATAGAGTGACGGTCAGGTTTTTTTATTGAATATAAATCGGGAGTTAATTAGTTTTTTGGTTGCTTCGCTGAAGACGCCTCACTTACCCGTGGTATAATTCCTTAATTTTTTATTTGTTTTAATTTCGTATTATCTTCGTGAGTGTTAGTGCCAGGCCACTTACAACGTGCAGATTCTAAGGGTAAAAAATGACTTTAGTGTGATGTAGTTACAATTATTTGGTAGGGCAGGCGGGAAGTGATTTTTTGTGCGTGTGTGTGATTTTTATTATTTTGTTTCGTGAGGATTTTTTTTCCACATTCTTTTTTTTAATTCATTATTTTTTTTTTATTTGGTGAATTCTTGTACTGTCCTTTTGCAATCTCTTTGGATTCCTTCATCCGGTGTTAGGCACTTTGGGCCGTATTGTTCCTTTTTGGTTTAACACCTACTAGGGTACGGTTGCCACACAATCCACTAGGCGGCCCTTTCAGTGCTGGTAACACTGGGCGTATCTAGTTACCCACACCACTTTTTACTTTATAAATTTTTTTGTTATAGCAGAGGCCGGTCGTAACGAGTTACCGCACCGGTTATCATATCATATCATATCATCTTTATAAGACTTTTCTATTAATTATTTAATTTTACTTATTTTATTTGTTACTTTTTTTATTCCTCAAATTTTGCATCATTTTCTTTATATTTCTTCTTCACCCTTTTTGTTTGTTTAATATTTTGCTTTAATATTTTACTCACGCAACACACACAACACAATTTTCACTTCCTCCTTTTCACAATTTTATGGATCCTCATCCTTAATGGAGGGGTCCTTGCTCGGGCCCCAGTTAAGTCCTTGGAAGGACATTTGGGGAGCCTCGCCATAATCTCAGTCACTATGGCGAGGCTATGTCCCCGATTTATACCTATTCATTCCTCTGAACGAATTCCTGAGTCGGTGCTTGAGTCCCAATGGTCCCGGCACGGGGTGCGGGTGCGCAGGTGGCCCGTCAGCTTTCTTGCCGGCTGGTGGATACCAATGTGCCGAGTCGGCACGAGGTGCGGGGGTAGGGGCGAAGTTGGCCGGTCAGGGCTCCGTGGCCGGACGGCGAATGTCGATATGCCGAGTCGGCACGGGGAGCGGGGGAACGGTTGAGTCAGGCGCTCTACCGTTAACTTATATGTAGCCGCGGCAGCGGAACTATGCAAGGCGCAAAAATATAAATGCATTCAAGGAGAATGGTTTATAATTTTGATGCAATTTTTATCCTTAATTTATTTTTTATAAATGTTGTGTGTATTAGCTTTAATATTTGGGGCGAAAATATAATCAGGCCTGCTCCGGTAATCGAAAACGGCAACATTTTTTCGACTTGAAAATCGGTCACCTTTTTCTGGCCGGTGCACAGTAGCGCCTCTCGAACAAAAGCCGTTGCAAAAATCGAAAAAGTCGTTGTCGCAAAAATGATTTTAACCATACTTATTCGACAGGAAATTTCCCATGGATTCAGAATCTGCTGTAAAATCAATTTTCAATTTTTTGCATCATAGGAAAAAAAAAGGAAAAATTTGTTGACTTTCAGGTAAAATTACACAAAAACTATATTACCTATCGCCATGATTTTTGCTTTAAATAATAGACACATTCATAAACTGTAACCCAATCCAAAAAAAGGGGAATTGGGTTAGGGCTTGCACAGGTAAATCGCTACCTGCCAGGTGTCCATTTTTTTTCACTTTTTTTCTGGCTAAAGTAGTCTATATCTTTTTTGGATGGGCTGAGCCACTATACACACTATAACTACGACCTTTGTGGATCTATTCTGGACCAACATCAACTTACATCTGCTGCGTCGAGCTGCGTCCCCGGAAATGCAACAGCATAAACCAAAACTACTCAGGGTTAAATATACCAAAATACCGACTCAGCTTCATACTAACTATAAAATATACATACTAACTGTAGCGCGTGGCGGTTACACGTTGAAATAAAAAAATTTTTTTTTTTCAGTTTTCAAATTATTTTTATCTGAGCAAATACATAAAAATAAAGATAAAAAATTAAATAAAAAATATTTTTAAAAAATTGTCTTCATTGAGAAAAATATATTTCTTTACTTTGATACCCTTTAAAAAGGCGAATGAGTGGGCGTGGCAGATTTTCCAATACATATGAAAATTGTACAACAATTACCAATCAAATGGCGTTTAAATTATTTAGTTATCTTATTTTGTTTTGTGAGAAAAGGCGCAACTGTGCGGTGTTGGTGGAACGAAACAGCCAGTTTAAAATACTTAAAAAATATAAATGAATACATTAATAACTTTAAAGGAGCCCCAAAATTGTTGTTTATAAATAATGCTATTTAATTTGATTACTAAAATGGTCGAATTTGATCAAATGATTAATTGAGACCACCGGAATTAAAACTGTGAAAAATGTGGCAGCATCTTAATTGCCAAGATTTGCTTAAGGGGGGATATACATGTAAACCAAAAATTTTTTTGGCAATTTTTTTTTTTGTTTAAAAAATAGTTTATTACTTAAAGAATATACTGTGTAAGTTTCATCATCGAATTCCAACATTAAGTGCCTCAAATTAAGTATGCAAGCAATGTATACAAGTGTTAACGTGGGCACATAAAAAACTTTAAACGTCTTTTTCTCAGCTTCTAATTTTTGCATTTCTGCCTATGCTATGGACACGATTCAGAAAAAACTACGTAACATATCGGAGTGAATTAAATTTTATTATGATCAGCATGAAATTATCTTCTATTTGAACCTACATGGTTGTTATAAAACTGGGTATTACTATTTTTTAAGAGGGTGGGAAGTGAAAACTGATCACCTGAAAATGGCATTTTTTTCTTCAAATCAAAATTTAATTTTTTTGTCTTGATTTCTTTTGGGTTTTTTAGGTTCAAATAGAAGATACAGGTGTAATGAATACAAACAAATTTGGTTTACGGGTTTTGGACAGGAATTACGACCCCTATCGTGTCCATAGTACGGCAACTCAAAGCTCGAGGCGCTACGGCATATGTTCCGTAAATCCGCCATTTTGTAAAATATTGTTTATAACTAATTTTTTTTGTCATCTCTGATTCTACTTTTAACTATATCCAAAGTTTCACGACGATTGCTTGACTATTTCTTATAAAAAAAAATTCACGAAAAATGACCAAATTTTGACCGCTTACATGTATATCCCCCCTTAACTCCAGCATTTTTTCTGGTTTTTTCCTGGCTTCGAAATAAGAAATTGTAAATATAAACGGCAGTTCTTCCCGTTGTTTGCTATTTACCAAAAAATCAAGTCAACTGCTTGAGCAGTAAGAAACGATGAGAAAACGAAACATTCCGATAGCAGAAATTTGCCGAAAACCGGAGCAGCTAAAAACGAAAACGGTTCGTTTTCGCCTAAAACGAACACGAAAAAATTTTACGATTACCGGAGCAGGCCTGAATATATGTATATATGTGGATTATGTTGGAAAAATCGAAGCCGAGATGCAATATATGTACATATGATTTTTGTTCTGATGTAGGAACCGTTTTGTACATTGATGTACGGAAATATGCAAATATGTTCAAAGGGTGTACAGAGGAAAGCGGTATAGAAAGAATATGGCGACGTTCAAAACGGAGAGGGATTGAAAATTTTCACGAATTGCAGAAAATGGAAGAATGGAAAATTCCTCAACTGCCGTTTTTAGGAAAACTCGCACTTAGAGTCGACACGGAAAATTAATCTTGCAGCAGAGTGACTGAAGTTTAATGTTCGGACTACTGCTGAAGATCGGTAGCGAGGGGGCGAGGGAGTAGTTCGTACTTATCTTTGATGGAAGAAAAAGACGCCGATAACTGCGAGTGGGGCGGAGTTGAAGTCCGGAATCCAAGAAAATGCGGCTCTGTAGGACCAAATGTTCGGCTGTGGAACTCTTCCGTAGCAAGTTCCTCACAAAGCACCAAAAAATAGCGCTTCAAAAAGTAAATGTGCGCAAGCGGAGAAGCTTTAGACTGGAAGTCCGGAGGGAGAGGGAGAGAAGGAGAGAGCGCGCTGCCTCCCGAAATTAAGCGCCTTTCTGGCGTGAACACCTAGGAACAGTGATGCCAATTTGTCCTTTTTCCGGACAGATCTGTCCTGTTTTTAACGCTTCATCCGGAAAAAATTGAAAATCATCCGCATACCTGAAATCTGTCCTTTTTTTAGATTTTTCATCCGGAAATCTTTCCTTTTTTTGTAAATCTAATATTAATTCTTTTTTTCTAAAATAGTTGCTTTCGCGCTCCAATTTTAATGTATTATTAGCTGTAAAATATGAAACAGGTGGCAGCTGCCATACTTAGATCGATAGTTTGGTAAAAAAAAATCATCGAAAAACAAGAAAGGAAGCTAACTTCGGCACGCCGAAGTTTGTATACCCTTGCAGATTGCTTTTCATATTTATGTCATAAATTATAATGCCGAAAACAGACACTAAACTGAGTTACATACCATTTTACCTATACTTATTATGTTTACAGTTTGACAGTTACAGTTATACATTCCCAGCTTTACATTTTCTCTACATCTGCGGATCGCTTCTATGGCTGCTATATGACATAGTTGTCCGACTTTCATAAAATGTATACCAAAATTCTATAATAATAAGTAAAGCTCATATCTCAGAGTAGATGAAAATACGTTAAAAAACAACGAAGTTATAACTTTTTCTATTACTTTCCCTATCGTTCCTATGGCAGCTATAAGATATAGTCGTCCGATTTTCATAAAATTTTTACCAAAATTTTGAAATAATACCAGAAGCTCATGTGTCAAAGTAGATTAAAATACGTTGAAAAACAACGAAGTTATAATTTTTTTGATTGATTTCCCGATCGTTCCTATGGCAGCTATAAGATATAGTGGTCCGATTTTCATAAAATTTTTACCAAAATTCTGGAATAATATAAAAAGGCTATATCTCAAAAATGATGGAATAATATTGAAAAACAGCCAAGTTAAAATTTTTTTTCTAAAAATTTATCGAACATTTGTATGGCAGCTATATGATATAGTCGTCCGATCCGGCCCGTTCCGACATATATAGCAGTGAGAGTATACAGAAGACTATATGCAAAGTTTCATTCAGATAGCTTTAAAACTGAGGGACTAGTTTGCGTAGAAACGGACAGACGGACGGACAGACGGACAGACGGACAGACGGACATGGCTAGATCGACTCGGCTGTTGATGCTGATCAAGAAAATATATTCTTTATAGGGTCGGAAGCGTCTCCTTCACTGCGTTGCAAACTTCTGACTGAAATTATAATACCCTGCAAGGGTATAACAACTCTATTTACGGTTTACTTGAAAATACTTCAACATTTTGGTCAGAAGTGAAGCGGTATCGGGATTCTGCAGGCAACCCCTATGAGGACGTGGTGAATTTTGCTCTCAGCCTGCTTTCATTGCCATGGTCAAATGCTGAAGTAGAGAGAGATTTTAGCCAAGTAAACTTGGTGAAAACCAAAATTAGGAACCGATTAGAGGTGGATACATTAAATGCCATTTTGGCAATCAGGTAAATATATATATATTTTCAAAAATTTACCACATATAAATTCATGTACATGTATTCTTTCTTCAGATTCGGATTGCGTCACCATAAGTTATGCTGTCATAATTATAACTTGCCTGAGAAGTACCTCCAATTAATTGGCTCCATGGCTACATATGAGGACAGCAATGATGATGACGGGAAAATAATAGAAGATGCCTTAAAACTATTATCTTAATAATAAAAAATAATAATAGTGAAAACAAACTTTTTGTCCTTTTTTTCTATCCTTTTTTAAATATTTTCATCCTTTTTTTCCTGTTTTTTTTCTCAATCTGTCCTTTTTTTTCGAAAACATTTTGGCATCACTGCCTAGGAAGTGTCTTTCGAAAAGAGCCTCTTTCGGTGATTTCGGTTTCTCTTCTGTTTCTAGGTTTTCCAAAGTCCAAAAACGTGCAAAAGCGTGTCGATTTGGTCCTCTGTAGTTGCAGCTGCGCAAATTGCTGCTTGTTTGTGATCTGCAGATGCTTTCCCGGCGACAATCCAACCAAGTTTAGTATTTTAAAGAACCGGGCCGCCTGGCCCTAACATCATATGGTTTGGCAGTAGTAACAAATAGTAGGGCTCAACTCCGATAAGCATGTCAATCTTTCCTGGCTTATCGAAGTTTGCATCTGCCAGAGCGATGTTTTGAGGGAGTAGTAGATTTGTTGAATCTAACTGATGAACCGGTTGATCAGCTATAATGTGTGGTAACACAAAAGCCTCGACTTGCTGAGTAAAGTCGTTATGCATTGATTTCATCAGCACATTCACTCTAGCTCGACTAGTCTTAGGATTGCCTCCAATACCTTCGAAACGTGGAGCCTTAATGATAGCTTTGAAGCCACTCGTTCAGAGATCAAGTTTATTTGCGATCCTGAATCAAGCAGAGCTCTGAAAGTGGCCACCTGACCATTGCTTGCTCGGAATTCCTTTGCCTTGTGGTCGCTGCTGAAGCAGTTGACACACAGTCGATGTTTTTGTACCCAATTAAGTCGTTCGGATATTAGTTTATTGCGGAAGTCATCACATTTGTATAGCCAATGATTCCGTTTGCATAATGGACAGCTCTTCTACCAAGCTGTCAATTTTGCAAACGGAATCATGTTGGTCCCTTCTGTTGCCTTTTTGATTTTTGGCTTCTTTTTTCTGTTCCCAGTACGCGAATTCATTGGTCTAGGAAGTTAAGTATTGAGTCGAAACCTTGCAGTTGTCGAGAACCATCAAACGACTGTTCGTACAAGGCTCTATTAACAAAATCCAATTTTTGCTTAAAAATAGCAATCAATATTGTATCCCATCTAGATACATCGATTCCTAGTCCCTTTAATGATGCCAAGGACTCGATAGTTGTTATATACAACTCTTTCAATGATTTCGGATCTTCACTGTTTGTGTGGTGTTGCAAAAGACGATTAAGAATCGTGTCAGCTACATGTCGGGGATTGTTGTATGCGTCAAGCAATATGTTCCATGCGTTTGCGTAGTTTTCTTCTTTTAGATCGATGTGTCTTATCAATCTTTCTGCCTCTCCAGTTACGGTGATTTTTAGATACCACATTTTCCGTACTGTCGGCATGTAAGTATCATGGACCATGCATTTGAATAAATAAAAAAACTGCGTCCATTTGAGTAAATCCCCATCGAATTTGGGGATACTAACTCTGGGCAAGTGTACATCTTTATTGCTCGATGCATTAGTTTTTGCCCCTAACACTTTTTGGATGACTGGGTCTTCGTGTTCTTCATAAACCGCGAAGTGGATCTCTTGAACTTGTGACCATAGTGTTGGGTGTTGCTTCCTCTCCGCAGAGTCTTGCTTGAAATTGCGGATCAGCTTAGAGATCTCTTGACTTATCTCTTCCTGCAAGTCTAACGCATTAGCACTTGTTCACTTGACTTGGAGAAAAAACTAGATTCTGAGTTCTGGTGAAAGGATTTTTTCAAAAATGCCCAGGATTGTTCCCAAGAGTTGGAGAACTTGACTCGCGAGACTTGAATTGTCGTCAGGACTTGATTGTCAGGACCTGAAGTGTCGTCAGGACTTGAATTGTCGGGACTTGATCGTTAGGACTTGAATTGTCGTCAGGACTTGATCGTTAGGACGTGAATTGTCGGGATCACCAAATGTTGTTATGAAGGTTTACTAGGGATCTTCGCTTCAAAGAGGCTCACGCGATCGCTGACGGCTATAAATTTTGTGCAACGACACTGTTGCGGCCGTTGGTTTTGCGGCCGTTGGCTATTCTGCGGATGCCATTTTTTTTGCTGCTATAGCGTGGCACCCTCAGGAATTCGAGCTTGGAAACCGAGGTAGGTTAGTTTAGGTTAGACCGGACGGACCTCGAGGTGCCACACATAGGCCAATATGGCCCATAGCTATCCGCGGAAACTCTTGGATGGACCTAGAGACTATTTATGCGAGTTTCGAGATCCTTGAATATCAAGGTGTTTTTCGCAAAGGCAAGGAGTTCGCCTGGTTTCCTCCTGGAGGCATTTTCTAGCGATGCCAGAACTGAAGAGCCCCGTTTTCGGGGCAGTCTCTATATTGGAGCAGAAGTTTCTCCATGAGTTTCTCTGCGCCTTGCGTATTTCCTTCTTGTAGTCCCTAAGTAGGACTTTGCATTCCTCATTGATGATGTCATCATTCGCCTGCTTGGCGATTTTGAAGAATTCTTTGAGTTTGTTGCGTCGAAGTGAAAGGTCCTTATTCCACCAGGGTGGCCTCGTCCTCTTTCTCGTGTCCGATATAGGGCGTGATGCGTGGTACGCATCCAGCAGTTCTGTGGAGAGGGTCTCTAGGGACTTTTCTATGTCTTCCGCGGATTCTACTATGCCCGGAGAGATCGCGAGCCGTATCGCGATAGTCTCCTTGAACTTTCCCCAGTTAGTATTCCGGGGGTTCCGGAAGACGAATTGTTTTGGAGAGTGTTCGAATGCGTATTGAAACCGTACCAAAAGGCGATTTTTCCCGCTCTCTAGCATCACCACGGTCAGGTCATAAGAGCTGTAATGAGACATAAGGTTAGCGTGTTGACCCTTCCGTACAAGTACGGCGGTTCTATTCCTGCTTACCATTGGTGGACGGAGCAAATTTTAATTTGCGGACTTCAGTCCGGCGATGGCATTGCCTGAGGCGATCCATGGCTCCTGGACCAAAGCTATGTCGGCGGATCCTTGCTCCATGGCTATGAGGAGTTCCGCCGACGCGACCTTGCTCTTATGGAGGTTGAGCTGCAGCACCCTGAGTGTCATGGGTACTGGCCTCATCTCCATACGACGTGTTGACTACTACGGTCAGGTCACCGTCCTCTCCTTCGTCGGACTCATCCAGCGTCATTTCCCGGTCGGCATCCACGATGGTTTCCAGACCTAGGTCCTTCTCCACGACATCTGCCTTCAGGGTGTGAGCAACCTTATCCCCGGGGTGGCGCTTTTTGAGGCGCAGGTATACGCTACCCATGCCCCACGCCATCTTCTGGGATAAAGGATGTCCTCTGCCTCCTTGTTTATCTGGAGGACTGCACTTTGCCGCCCCCCCCTCTTTGGGTGATGGGGCCGCAACGTGCAGAACCTTCCAGTCCGCGGTTGGGATATCCGGGTTCTGACGCTGCAGCAGCTTCAGCGCCCGGTCCGCTTGGATTGCGATGGGGAAGAGCACCTTCGCTTTTGGAGTGGATGGGATTAGCTCCCGGTCCACCACCTCTAGCTTGGCTCCCTCCCACAGCGCCTCCAACTGGCAGACCGCTTGCGTCAGCCACTTTCTCGTCGGTCATCCATGCACTTTAGGATTTTGACCCCATTTAACCATCCACCGCCATCGAAGGTGGGCATGGGAGCTTCGGGATCATCCTCCACCCGTGCGTACAACGACTCAACGAGCCGCGCATGCACCATCTTCCACTGCGCCTCGGTAATTTTGCCGGCTTCATCGCTTCTGTCAATGGGGCCACAATCAAGTGTCGTTTGGTCACCTCACTGACTTTTGCGGTTTTTTTGGGCTTTTTCGCTATTTGGGGAGGGCCTGCCTCCTTAGGCCCGCGTTGCCGTTTGTTCCCCGGTGCGTCCATAGAGGCGCTTTCGGTTGAGCGTTGCCTTTTGTTGGCAAGCGTCTTCTCCACCTTGTTGGCGAATCCGCCAGTCGATCTCATGTGGGGGAGTTTGACGAAGTGAAGCCTCCCCTGAGCGATTTTCTCCTCAGCCCAGGTAAGCTTTGCCTTCTCCTCTGGGGAAGGGCGGCTTTTTCCTGGAGCCGATCCTGGATGCGGAGGGCAGCATTGTACAGCTCCTTGGCCTTCATCCCCTCGCTTGACCGCTTTGGCCCGTCCCTGCGCTGGGAGCTGGTGCCTGGTTTCGGTGAGTGGAGAAGCTGCACGCTCTCAAGGTCCGAGTCTGTATCGACTATGGCACGTGAGCGGCTCAACCTCCCCTGCGTAGTTTTTTCGGCAGTAGCGTTGGACATGACATGACCTGCTCCCATCACATCAGAGGTGTAACGCCTTCCACCGACGTTTGGTATACTCTGGCTTTATTGCAAGTGAAGACTCGCTAGAAGCTTTTGCCAACGGTTGAGAGATGACAATGCGTGGATCGCTTGACGCACTTGTTGATCGAAGATCTCTCTCTTTGGAAGTGGAAACCGAGCTTCTGATCCTCGGACTAGCGAACTTGGGGGCTGGCTGGGCTCGAGTGGGCCGCGGAGAGGATGGGTTCCATTTGGCCGGGGAGGAGATTACTTTTTTATCTCCCTCTATGGGCATACTTAGCTATGCCCTACGAAAAGGAAGGCCTGCACCCCGCAAAAAGAAAAGAGAGTGAAAGAAAAAACGAAAAAACCTTAAACGGTGTGGAAAAACCGGCCGAAAAGGCAGTAGTTCGCAGAAAACGACAGAAAAAATAGCTAAATCTAGCTATGAACACTCGATAGAAAAACGAGGAAACTCAGTTTTCAGTGAAGGAACGACAAAGCAAAAAAACTGCGGATAACCCAATATAGCGAAAAGTAGCTAGATCAAGCTACTAGGTGCGGAAATTGTTGTAAATTCTTAGCCACTGATTCAAAATTATCTGCTTCGATTTTTAGTTCGGAAACACGTCAAAACCGATCCTAGAACCTTGCGAGAAAAAAACAAGCAAAAAAAACTACCTGGAAAAGCTTATAAATTTGGCGGAATTTGTAAAATAATTATCGGAAATTATTTTGTTTATTATTTA